CTCGGTATGTCTGCCCACGAAGTCGTGTGGGTCTTTCGTGTTGACGTATGTAGCTCGGCCGTTGCGGCGGCGGCTGCGTCTAGGAGCGAGTTGCTGTGTCCGGGAATGTGACGTTTCGAGACGCGAAGCCAGTGCACTGCCCGCGCCGCCGATGTGACGAATAGATGTCAATACGTACCATACGGACTGCCGCTGGACAATGACCACAGACCACGCGAAGCTGCCACCCGAGTGCCGTGGTGTTGATGGCCAGCACCTCGATGTTGACGGTTGAGGTGCCGAAGGGTCCCGAAACTCTTTTACCCACTCTCACGCCGTGAGATCAAAGCCCAAGCGTTTGCGGGTGTTCATGGAGGTGTCATCATCCGCGTTACATCGTCGTTGCCTTGCTAGCCTGAACGCCAGGCGTTGTCAGCTTGGTTCACCCTGGCAAACAGGACCTCCACTTCTGGGTCAATCGAGTCAAATGAATTGTGTCGATGGTCAATGATGGCGATGCCGACGTCGGCGGCGTCCGTTTTTAGCGTGTATCCGATCGGGAGGAGCTGCCAAAAACGTACGTTGAGACGTGCTCGTAGTGCGCCACCAAAAAGGTCGGGGCCAGTACGTCGAGGTCAGCTCGGACAGGGAACTGGAGCCTGCGCGAGCCCAAAATAAGCGAGCGCCCGATATAATCTGTGTTGGTCTAGGTGTATGTAGGCCGCGTGCAGCGGTCGCGCGCAAACAAACATGGTGCAGCAAGTACGGTACACGCTCCAAATCGCGGTGCGAATCGGCCATGGGCATGAACTACCCGCACGCATGCTTGGACACGCGCCGATTTTCTCGGCAGGTATAGAGACGACACCAAGCTCGGGGTTCTGAACGAGGCCACTTGCACACAACTTGACGGATCATGGATGGGTCGCTTTCTCGTTGACGGCGTTTTTCGTTTCAGTTTCACGAGCATGTCAATGTGTACCGCGAGCTCGGCTGCATCGAGCCGAGACGGGACATCGAGTTCGATGAGGATACATTCATCGATGTAGTTGACGCATCCAAAGGGGAGCGTGACCCAAGATGTGCTGAAAATGATGCTGCTCGGAGAAACGCCTTTGACAAGCCGCGTGATCGCGTTGCTGATCACACAGAATGCGATGACAGAACCGCAATAGGCGAGATATCGATGCATGCCGATTCGGGTAGCGCCAACCCATAAGTGGTCTGTTGTCAGCTGCACAACCCCGCAGGTGACGGAAAA